CAAAGGAATAATAGCCAATAGAAAAGGGAAAAATCAAACAGGCAACATCATAAAAGTCAATGAAAACAATGCCAATGAAATTGTTAATGATACCAAGTACAGAAAGACATAAGGGACTAAACAATTACTCCACAATTCAGCAACATACACTCTACAATAAGAGCAATTACCACTGGTATGGTGGAATGAGAAATCAAACTGAAAATTTAAGAGTAAGTGCACAATACTACATATGAAATTTCTTGCTATTAAAACATCAAGTCTGAAATCAAACTTCTAGATGCAACTACTAACAGAAAATGCAGGAGACAGAAAAACATTACATGAAATCACAGGGATGCTATCAGCACAATTCAGACTGAAAAAATCTCACAGTGCAGAAGATCTAAATTCTTCAATAAATCAATTTTGTGCAAGTAACACAAAGATGGAAGGCAATGGGGGCAACAGTGCATGCCTGTAATCCCAACTACTTAGCTCACTCAGAAGATCATAGATTCAAGGTCAGTCTGAGCAATTTAGCAAGACCCTATCCCAAAATAAGCATGTACCTCTGTAACACAGAATCCCTGGGTCCAGCTCTAGCACTGTGATTTCAGCATTAAGGAGGCAAGGCCATGGGAGAACACAAGTTCAAAACCAGGCTGTGATACAATTTAGCAGTGATATCCAGACTTTATCTCAAAAAATTAAAGAGGGCTGGTGATGTAGTTCAATCTTCAATGGAAGCAATGTGTTGGGTATGGTGGCTCATGCCTCTAATCCTGGCACTCAGGAGGCTGAAGCGCAAGGATCGCTGTGAGTTCAAAGCCAGCCTAAACTACATAGTGAGTATGAGGCCAGTCTGAACTACAAAATGAGACCTTATCTCAATAAAATAAGATAAAATAAAATAAAATAAAATAAAATAAACAAAAATTGTTATCAGGGCTGGGGATTTAACTCAGCAGTACAAGGGCCTGCCTTGCAAGTGCACAGTACTGAGTTCGATCCCCCATGCCAAAAAAAAAGAAAGAAAAAGGAAAAAAATTGTTATCAGGGAAATGTGAACACTGACTAGATACTGATTACTAAAAAACCTGTTAACTTTTTCTGTTGATTTTTAATATATAACACTGTTTTAATCCTTACCTTTTAGATACAAAATGAAATATATACAAAGTCTACCTTTTTACTAGCTTGTCAACCATCAGGGTAGTTCCATTGTGCTGTTTAAGATACAAAGTAATACCATGAAAGCTAGAAAGTGATACAGAGATTCAAAGCAAGTGAGAGCTACAAAGTGATACAGAGATTCAAAGCAAGTGAAAGCTACAAAGTGATACAAGGATTCAAAGCAAGTAGATCATTACTGGAGTAGGCTGAGAAGTCAAATAAAACTTTAGGAAGGCAACTGTACTTGCATCAGATCTTAAAAGATGATGAAATTTTAACAGAAAGGAACATGAGAGGAAAAAAAATGACATCCCAGGTTGAAAAAAATGGAAGCAACTAAAAAGAGGTGAGAAAGCCTCTCCTGCTGTAGTGTACCAGGCTGTATTCGCCTCTCCATAAAACTGTCCTTCCTCAAGGATGACTTGGAAAGGAAAAGTCAAAGTAAAAAGCATAACCCACTATGCAAATTCAAATTAACAAAATGGAAGAAGAGCCATTTAGGACCAAACTACTCCTACAGAGCCCCAGGAAGAAACAGGTTATAGTCTCTAGGTAACCAAACCACACTGGCTTTGCAGGGCAATCTACTGGTGTTACTCCTCTTCCCCTCCTTTTTTTCCTCCCTCCCCAAGGAAGCTTGACCTAAAAGCTCATGAGATTCTTTTACCTGATCCAGGAAATGATTATTAAAATAATTAAGTTTTAAAAAGCATCTACTAATAAACTGTGTCTCCCTGCCATCACATTAGGCACTTCAAGTAAGATAAAGATACATGAAATACCTTACCCTCAGAACATTACTCAGGTTACAGACTTTTTTAAAAATATAGCTGATGAGGTAGATCTTAAATAAGACTTTTATTTCTTCAAAAACAGAACAGGTACTGGGCAGCATGGCACATGGCTGTAATCCCAGCACTCAGCAGACTGAGCAGGGGAATCGCTGCAAATTTGAAGCCAGCCTGGACTACACAGAGAGTCCAGCCATTCTGAATTACATAGCAAGACCCTGTCTCAAAAAAGAAAAACAGAGGAGGTGGAGGAGGAGAAAAAAAAAAAAGTAGACTAACCCTAACATTAAAATATTTTGGAGTATTGTGGAACTAAATTTAGTGATGAATATCTTCTATGTTTCAATATCATTAAAATTCTCAGGACATGCCAGTGAAAATGAATATCAAGACAAAAAGGAATATAAATTATCAGCCAAAAATTAGTAATTGTAATGTCTATTGTTGCTGTCTTCTATGTACCAGAACAAACTCCAAATATCCAAGATGGGTAAGTATAGGGAGTCAGAAAAAGTGGGGGCACATTCCTTAAATCAAAGAAAAAAGCAGCAAGATAACAGGTCAGGTTAGCTTTGAGCAGTCATCAGTCACTAACTGCATCTTATTTCACAATAACTGAGACTGTCAAACACCCTCCCAGAAATCAAATATAGTTATTCCAACTTATCAGAGGAAATGAACAACAGAAAGGATAAAATATGATTATGGGAAAGACAGGAAAGCTTTATAAAGGCAAATTTTTAGATTATCTATAGAATATAGTTAAGGCAAAAAGATATATATATATATACCATCAATTTTCATGCTATAAATGCACTTCTGGGTCACTGTTCAGGTGTGCCCTCCATATTTAAGGATACTACCTGATTTTATGAAAACTATGAAGGAGCCAGGGATTTAGCTCAGTGGCATAAGCACCTGCCTGGCACATGCGAGGTGATGAGTTTGGTCGCCAGTACCAAAAAAAAAAAAAAAGAAAGAAAGAAAGAAAAAAAGTAAAGAAAAATACTAAGAAGAGAAGGCCACATAATCTTGGACTCCATTGTAATCCACAAAAGAAACACCTATTTTCTTTGTCTCTCTCGTGTAGACACAAACCATGACATTTACCTTACTGCTTCAAAAGAGGTAAGACACATAACTTTTAGAAAGATTCATCTTCTGCTCACATTCTTGAGATGATGCTCATTTTTGCCCCTTTAAATACTGATTATTTGGTCATGTAGTTTTCCTTAAGTTTACCTATTTGTGAAATTTTAGTATGGATAATGATATAACAACTTCAGGTTCAAAGTGCTATCACATTCTAATCCGACCTTATAAATGTATAAAATATTGGGGAGGGAAAAGATAGATATGGAACTTGCCCTAAGGACGCTAAAATGTATAAGACATATAAAATGACAACACGGTAACTGTTACAGAAAGGGTACAATAGTTGAAAGGGGTACAGAAAAGAAAGTGAATGAATCTGAGTATGAGACCTGGAGTCTCAAACAGAAAGTGAATTGGAACGAAAATACTGTCTTGAGGAATTCTTAATTACACAGCTTCACAAAGCACGGAAGGGCACCTTTCACCCCCAGCACTGCAGAACACATTCCAACTAGTGTTTTTTTCCCCCCAACTAACCAGTAAAAACTTGGTCATCTACAAACACCTCACAAGATTTGTCTTAAGTAAACTCTGCCTCCTGTTCCAACGAAGTTAACAAAAATCAGCCTCCAAACTATTACAATCTGAACGAATCTGCTTATTTTTTAAAAATGCTTGCAAACGTTTTCAATAAATTCACTCTGAAACATAATTAAAAATAACTTGAGATATGTTGTTTAGAGAATGAAAAACGCAGCAACTAATAAGTAGAAGAAACACAAGCGATTTGAAAAAACCAGCTTTGTTGAGAACCCAGTGGCCACTTGCCAATACTTCTTTATGCAGCACATACGACCAAAGATTCTAAGCAGACTCCTTGGGCTACAAAGGCTCTTTATCAAATCCAAAATTAAGAAAGTTCTCATAAATACTTGAAGGTAGGTAAGCTAAAAAGCAGTGAAATAAAAGGCTTTATAAAGCTCTGTACAATCAATACAAACCACAGCTTTATCTGAGCCCTAAAAAACAGGAGACATTTTAAACGTCACACAAATAACCTATTCACAGGCACTTATAACTTGGGAGTCTGTCAAGAAAAATACCGGACACTCGAAACGGCTGAGGTTAATTTTAAAAAAAGAAAATCTCTCTATGGCCACCAGGGAATAAATCTAACAATTCTTAATTCTTACAAAACTATGAGAATCCCAAATCGAGCTCTTCCTCTTCGTGTAAACTGCACACACAAGCATTTCAGATCTGTGCTTTCAACACCCTGTAAATGATGTCGTCTGTGCATGAAAAGGCAAGAAGGTTACTCCCCAAACTCCTGGATCCCATGATCCAACCTCCTAGAGTGGAAGGAACAGTAAAGTGGAAGGAACAAAGCACTGACGTCAATTACGAGATTAACCCCGAGCACAGGCAGCTGTAGGAAAGGCCTAAACATCAATAGCCTAGTGCAAGCTCTGGGGTAAGAAGGTAACAGGCCGATCAGAAGTTCGGGGTGGGGGGAGACTCAAGGATTACACCCCCACGTTTCCATTTTTAGTCAACCTCCTTCGCTTAACGAAGACGAAAAATTTTTTTTTCAGAGGAGAGAGGAGAGGTGGGGGAGGTGCGCAGGATCGCGAGAAGGAAAGCGAGAACTAGCTGGGTAACGACAGCCAGAAAATTGGGGCCTCTGTGCTCTCCGATCAGAATAACCTGAAATTGAGGAGGCTATTAAAAGGGAGCAATTCGGCAGGGGCAATGTCCGCGGGAAGGGACGGATCCACCGAGGGAAGGAAGACGGCGAGAGATGGGCGTCTGCGAGCCTCCGCCGGACTCGGCTGGCTTTTTCCTTCTCTCGCCAAGACCGAGAGCCCGAGCGCGCGCGCAGGGACGAGGGCCCAGGGCGATGGCGCAGCTCCGCCGCCCTCCCCCGCGGCACGGCCGCGGCTCGCCGGCCCTGCTCACCTCCAGTCCCGGCTCCGCTAGGCCCAAACCATCTCCCGGCGGCGGCGGCGGCGGCGGCGGAGGAGGAGGAGGAGGAGCGGGCCTGCCTTCACGGAACGCGCATCCGGCCGCCCGCTGCGGCGACCGGCTGCCAAGGGCGGGAGGCCGGGGGCGGCGGTTCCGAGGCCCGGGATCGGCGGCGCACTCACAGGGCAGCGGCGGAGGTCCCGCCCCGCTGCATGACGGCCGGGCCCAGCCCGCGACGGCTGCCTCAGGCGGCGGGGGGCGGGCTGACGACGACGGGGCACCCAGCTCCCGCCCCGTCCGCTGGCGGCGGCGGCGACGACTCGACTCCCGCAGCTCCGGCTCTGACTGACGCAGCGGCCGCGCCACCCACGTGACCAGGCCGGGCGGGGCGGCGTCACGTGACCAGGCCGCGCCCCTCCCGCCGGGCCGAGGACCGGGCCCGGAGGCGACGCCCGCGGGTCGCGTGAGGCGGAGGACCGGCCGAGGGCCGCCCGGGGTCCAGGTCCCAGCGGCCGCCCGGGATGCAGCTCGTACGCCCTCCCTTGCCCGGCTCGCTAGAGGGGTTCGGCCGGGCTAGACGAGCCGAGCCGGAATGACCGGTTCTGCGGGGGGGGGGGGGCCGAAGCCCCGAAGCTCCTCGGCAACTTCCGGTGCTGCCTGCGGCCGGGCCGGACCGAGCCTGGCCGGAACCCGCGGGGAGGGCAGGCTGCGGGGCGCTTATTCTTGATCTGTGCTTCACCCAGCCCGGGAGGCCGAGCCCACCCTGGTCATCCTCTGCACCTCCCTTGCCACTGATCATTTTTCTGGTTGTCATTCTGAACACTTGCTACGCCTCTTAATATCATGCCAGGGGGCGAAGCCAGGATTGAACTGAGAATAGGCTGGTAGTGACAGACCAGACAGCGTCGGAGGGGCTCAGGGCCCGGGGTGGAAACTGTCAGGGAGGCTGCCCTGCAGCGCATATGGAAAACACATAACTGGCTCGTTTTTGCATGCTTCATCTGAAGGAACCTAGTGAATTTTTCTTCCCCATACGGCTAAGAAATGTATGAAAATGCTTTTATTGGCCTCCAAAAGCTGGTAAATTCACCAGCATCAATAGGATAGTTTTTTTGTTTTTTTTAATTTCTAACCACCAGTTGTTTTTTAAAGCACCCTTCTAGTCTGTGGCTACATAAATGTCTGTATATAAATTAACAATTTTATTAATCCAAAACTAAAAGACAAAATACAGGGAAAATAATACGGGCAAAGCACAGCTTCTTTAGCTCTTGAGGGGCATATTTGTTGTTTGCAGTTTTTAAAATGTCAGAATCCAGGCATGGTGACACAGGCCTGTAATCTCAGCACTTAGGAGGTTGTGGCAGCAGGATCATTTCACATTCCAGATCAGTGTGAGCTACAAAGTGAGTTCAAAGACAGCCTGAACTGCATAGCACATGAAGAAACCAGGGTTGGGGGCTGGGGATTGAGCTCAGGGACTTAAGGGGCAAGCAGAAGGTCATGGGTTGAGCTGGCCATAGTGGCTATGCCTGTAATCCCAGCACTCAGGAGGATTGCTATGAGTTTGAGGGCAGCCTGGGCTACAAAGTGAGTTCAAGGCCAGCCTGAACTGCATAGTGAAACTCTGTCTTAAAAAGACAAATATAAAAGCTGGACATGGTGGCACACTTCTGTAATCCTAGCACTTGGGAAGCTGAGACATTCGCACTGTGACTAATAGCCTGGGCCACAGATGAGCCTAAGGCCAGCCTGAACTGCGTGGCAAGTCAATGGGCTGGGGATTTAGCTCAGGGGCATAAGCACATGCCTGGCATGCGTGAGGTCATGAGTTTGATCCCCAGTACAAAAAAAAAAAAAAAAAAAAAAAAATTCTGTTTCAAAAAGACAAAGAAACCAAGGTTGGTGGAGCAGCCCTGTAAACCCTGCACCTGGGAGGCTGAGGCAGCAGGAGTGTAGGCTACACAGTGTATAGTGAGACCACCACACCAAAAAAAAAAGAAAGAAAGAAAATATATATAAATAAAGCTATTACACACATTCATGTAACAAAATTCAGGTTTTAAAATGACCTCCACTAGCTGGGTGTGGTGGCTCACGCCTGTAATCCAGCTAATCCCAGCACTCGGGAGGCTGAGGCAGGAGGATCGTTGTGAGTTCGAGACCAGCCTAGGCTACAAAGGGAGCTCAAGGCCAGCCTGAACTGCACAGCGAGACCCTGTCTCAAAAAAGACAAATAAATAAATAAAATAACCTCCACTATTATTTTGTGAAAACAACTAGGTAAAAAAGTACCAAGTCATAGGGGCTGGGGATCTAGCTCAGCTGCATAAGCACCTGCCTTGCAAGCAGGCAGTTGTGAGTTCGACCCCCCGGTACTGATAAAAAGGAAAAAGACAATAATAATAATAATAATAACCATTATCTCTCACAGTTTCTATAGGTGAGTAATTTGGGTGACCTTGCTAGGCAGTTCCAGGTTGGGGTCTCTTAAAAAGTTGTAGTGAGGAGCCAGGGATTTAGCTTAGTAGCATAAGCCCTTGCCTGGCAAGCACAAGGTCATAAATCCAATCTCTGGTACCAAAAAAAAAAAAAAAAAAGAATTTTTAATTTGAGCTGGGCGTGGTGGCTCACACCTGTAATGCCAGCACTGGGAGGCTGAGGTGGGAGGATCCTTGCAAGTTTGAGACCAGCCTGGGCTACAAAGTGAGCTCAAGGCCAGCCTGAACTGCATAGCGAGACCCTGTCTCAAAAAAGACAAAAAAAAATTGTAGTGAGGCTGGGCCTGGTGGTATATGCCTATCATCTCAGCACTCAGGAGGCTGAGGCAGGAGGAGTGCTGTGAGTTTGAGGCTAGCCTGGGCTGCAAAGTGAAATCAAAGCCAGTCTCAACTACATAGTGAAACCCTGTCTCAAAAAAAAAAAACAAAAAAATTGTAGTTACTGGAAAGCCTTCACATCCTCCTGGCAGGACAGCCGGGAAGTTGGCCTGGGCATGGGTATTTCCAGAGGTGGAGGCTGAAGCACCTATTATGACATCACACGTTACTTTTATTCCATTCCATTGGTCAGAGAGCTTAGCTGGGATTCCATGTGGGCGGAGCTACACAAAGGCAGGTGGAACCCCGGAAGTGAGGATCATTGATAACCATCTTTGAAGCTAGTTATCACAATCTAGACTATGATTTTCCCTACTGTACTTGTGCAGATTTGAAGCAATTTCCAGAAAGAAAAAAGAAACCCCCTAATGAACACTGAATTGTAATTTTTATATGGTTCAATTATACTTCTTTATAAACCATAGTACAGCGCACTACTGTTTGAAGCTCTATTAATGTATAAATTTAAATATTTAACTATTAAAAGTATAAAGACAGCTTAACATGGTAGTGTATGCCTGTAGTCTCATCATTTAGGAGGGTAAGAGGGAGGATTGCTGAGAATTTGAGGCCAGACTGGGCTATATAGTGAAATTTTTTTTGAAAAACAAAATTAATGTTTTAAAATGGAGTTTCCTTGGTGTAGAGGTTTTAAAATTCCAATTCGGTTTATTTCTTTAATTTTTTCTTTCAAATTATTTCTATTGGTCTTTGCAGTATATGATTACATTCCTCATGGGAGTTGGTACATGTACATATCACATCTTAATTCATTTTACATTCCTCCCCTCCGCATTCTCCCTCCCTTTCAAGTTTCTTTAACATTAGGGATAATTTTATCATCAGTTTATTCCTCGGCAAGCTTTGGTAAATTGTCTTTCAAGAAATTTGCCCAGCTGGGCATGGTGGCTCATGCCTGTAATCCCGGCACTCGGGAGGCTGAGACAGGAGGATTGTTGTGAGCTCCAGACCAGCCTGGGCTACAAAGTGAGCTCAAGGCCAGCCTGAACTGCACAGTGAGACCCTGACTCAAAAAAAAAAAAAAAAAAAGAAAAGAAAAGAAAAAGAAATTTGTCCATTCATGTTATTACATGTGTAGGTATTCCATGCTACTATCCCTTTAGTGGATTTTTAGTACCTGTGAAACCTAAGGCAATGCAGCTGGTCCAAACTCCTGATATTGATCATTGTATCTTGTTTTTTACCCTCAGCAGTCAAACTAGAGATTTTTTTTCCCCCAGTAATGGCTACATCCCCAGCCCTTTCTTACTTTTTCTTTTGAGATAGGGTCTCACTAGATTACTAAATTGCCAGGCTAGGGTTAGAATTTGCAATCCGCCTGCTCAGCTCCTAGAGAGCCAAAATTATATCCCAGAAAGCTGAGATTACCACCATTCTTGGTAAGTTTTATGTGGGTTTGGTGGTTTTTAAATTAATATTATTATTGTGATTTTATTTTTATTTATTTTTGTTTGGGGTAAATTTTTTGAGACAAGGTCTCACAACATAATTCCGGTTGACCTTAGCTCACTATGCAGCCCAAGCCAACCTGGAAATCTAGGCAGTCCTCCTGCCTCAGCCTCATGACTGTCGGGTCTTGGGAGTGTCCTCACAGCTTCAGCCTCGCTGTCTCTTTCTCACACTTTTTCTTCTGCCCTGCCTGGTTACAAAGGAAGTGGTTTTGTTCTGTTCTACAACCATAACCTGCTGTCATGCCACAAGCCTAAAAGCAAGAGGGCCAAGCAATCATGGACTGAATCTTCCAATTCTAGGTCTTGGGCCTTGGAACCCTAGGACCTCCAGCTCCCAGAATTAAACCACTGATGCTTATCATTCTCCAGTTGCAAACAGGAGGTTGTAGGACCTCTCTAATTATATGAGCTGATTCCCATATTAATTTATTCACATGTACCTATCTATAATGTAAGATGCATACACATACACACATCCTGTTAAACTCATGTCTCTCTCATGCCAGGCAAAATGTCATGCAAGGCTGGACATGGTGATGCATGCCTGTAATCCCAGCATGCAGGAGGCTGAGGCAGGAAGGACTGGAACAAGTTTTTCTGGAGAAATCTAACAGGTCTTGTCTTTGCTTTACTGGTCTATATAGTAGGGTTTTGTTTGTTCATCTGTTTTTTTCTCTTCTTCTTTTTTTTTTTTTTTCAGGAAGAAATCAAGTATGAGTTTCCTTTCTGTCACTAGGACAAAATACACGATGCACACAATTGAAAGGAGGAAGGCTTTAATTTTGGCTCACTGTTCCAGATGTTTCAGTCCATGATCAGTTGGCCCCAGGCAGAAATACCATGGCAGAGGAAAAGGTGTTCGACTCATAGCAGCTGGACACAGGGAGAGAATAAAGAAAACTAGACCAAAAGATACTCTCCAGCTGGGCCTGGTGGCCCATGCCTATAATCCCAGCACTTGGGAGGCTGAGGCAGCAGGATTGCCATGAGTTTGAGGGATGCCTGAACTACACCGTGAAACTGTATCTCAAAAAACAAAAAATAAGCCAGGCAAGGTGGCGCAAGCCTGTAATCTGAACACTCAGGAGGCTGAGGCAGGAGCATTGTTAGGAGTTTGAGACTAGCCTGGGCTACAAAGTGAACTCAAGATCAGCCTAAACTGCATATTGAGACCCAGTCTCAGAAAGACAAAATAAATAAATGATAAACAAAAAAAGAGAGAGATACACTGTCCAAAGACATGCACATCAACCCAACTGCCCTGACTGGGCCTTACCTCCTAACAGGCCAGCAGGTTAACTGTGAACTCATCAATGATTGATCCAGTAACCAGGTTAGTGCCTCATGAAGCAGTTACTTTCTGAGGGTCCCACTGGTAAATACATGAGACTTGGGGGGGGGTCACTTTCAAACTAACCCTAAAGTGATAGTATAAATAGGGGTTTACTTTACATTTAACTGAAAATTCTGTTTTCATGGTTGTGTTTGTATGTGTATCTAGTCTCTCCGACTAGGTAGTACTCCAAGGAATCTGTTGTTGAACTGTTACTTACGGATCTTTGTAAAGAACCTTCCACCTACGACTTCCATTAATATCTGTGGTTCTGATGACTGAACACCCCGATGAATGAGCCCAAGTACTTTTGGGGGTACCTTTCAAAAACAGTAACGATTTCTAGGCCCACAACTTCCATCTTTACCTGTTTCCAGTGCAGAAGCTGTCGGCCAGGTATCACACTGTTTGCCTCCCTCCTTTCCATCTTCCTAATGCCTTTCTCCCACTCTAGTACAAACACAAGGCACGACGATCCAAAGTGTAAAAACCTGACCAAAACACCATAGGTGGCAGCACACACCTGCAATCCCAGCACTCAAGAGGCTGAGGCAACAGGATCAATGTAAGTTCAAGACCAGCCTGGGCTACAAAGTGAGCTCAAGGCCAACCTGACCTGCACAGTGAGACTCTGTCTCCAAGAGGCAAACAAACAAACAGAAAAACCACTACTGGAAGACTGGGGAGAGCTCCGTGGTACAGCACTTGCCTACTGTGTGCAAAGAACAAGGCCAAAAACAAAAACCATACTCAGAAATAGGGCTTTGGGGCAACTTCTCTCAATTCAGGCATCATAATCCACAACCCAAAATCTTTTTTTTTTTTTGGTCAGGGGCACAACCTGGTACCAGAAAATGGATATTTGGCCTATTTTTTGAACATATGGGATTTGAACCCATGTTTGATGCTGGGATATGAACCCATGTTTCTCTCATGCCAGGCCCCAGGCTGGGCATAGTGATGCATGCCTGTAATCCCAGCACTCAGGAGGCTGAGGCAGGAGGATTGGCACAAATTCAAGGTCAGTCTGGGCTACACAGCAAGACCATCTCAAAAAACAAAACTCCCCCTCCAAAAAGTAGGACTTGGAGGTTGTTTGGCCTTGAGGGCTCTTTCCTCATTGGTGGGATTAAGGCTATCATGAAAAAAGGTGTTTGGCACGTACTTTTCTCTGTTGGCCCTCCTGACTTACAATGAAGCAGCTTTGGACCCTCTACAGGCGCCAGCAGCTTGTTCTTGGACTTGTCATCCTCTAGGATTGTGAGCTCATTTTGTTCTACACTACCCAGCCTCACACTTTTTTTTTGTCTTTTTCCTTTTTATCGGTACCAGGGATCGAATTCACGACTGCCTGCTTGCAAGGTAGGAGCTTATGCTGCTGAGCTAAATCCCCAGTCCCCCATCTCACACATTCTATTACAGTGCCCCAAAATTGTCTAGGACCTTAGCTAGCATTCTGCGATACCATTATTCATGATGGGTAAATAGAGTAGCTCAGACCATTTTAAACACGATTCACCAGAGAAAGGACCTGGGGAGGTCTCCTTGGAGGACCATCAGTTCCACGCTGAGCAGGAAGGTTGCCAGAGCAGCTGGAGACACAGCAGCCAGTCCCAGGAGTCAGGAAATGCTCAGAGAGAAGCCGGCATGGTGGTACACACTGCAATCCTTCCCCACGCAGGGCAGCAAATGCCAGGCCAGGGTGGACGCTGTGGTGAGGGGGGCAGGGGGAGGGCGGAGGAAGAGAGAGGGGCACAAGGGGGAGGTTTGTTAAAGAATTCAGCAGTTAGGGGCTGGGGATTTAGCTCAGCAGCATAAGCACCTGCCTTGCAAGCAGGCAGTCCTGAGTTTGATCCCTGGTACCGATAAAAAGGGGAAAAAAAAAAAAAAAGAACTCAGCAGTCTACCTGAAGGGCTCTTAACAGTCAAAGGTGAAACAATTTAAGCAAAAAATAAATAAATAACCATACTGAGTTCTTAGATTCAAATATATACCCATGAGTCCACATGATAAATAACTGAATAAAACAGGGACAGCTCTTCCTGAAAGCAAAGTTCTAAATAATCTATGTATTGGTTTTTGAGACAGGGCCTCACTGAATATGAAGCTCAAACTCTAACACTTGTGTTTTCAGTGTTAACTAACCCTAAGGCTGCATTTTGGGGGCTTTTTTTCTGAGACAGGGTCTTACTATGTAGTCCAGGGCCTTGAACTCATGGTGATGCTCCTGCCTCAGCATCCCAAGTACTGGGATTACTGGTGTGCGCCACCACACCTGGCCCTAATGCTGTATTTTTTTTTTTTTTTCTTTTTTGCTTTTTATCCGTACCGGGGATCGAACTCAAGACTGCCTGCTTGCAAGGCAGGCCCTTATGCTGCTGAGCTAAACCTCCAGCCCCCTAATGCTGTATTTTGTTTGTAGATGAAAATTACTATTTTGCAGTCAGGCTAACAAAATGTTCATAGAATGGAAACTTGTGGTTTAATGGCTCCTTTTGATAGGGTTGGAGGTGAGAAATACTATAGTTTTGTATTTGCCAGAGATTCAACTTTCACAACCCTGCATTGATGCAGGTTGTAAAGAAACTTGTTCCAAATGAGTCTGTACTTTGCTACTGACTCTGATTTTCTCAGAGAAACATGTGATTAGACAACAATCAAGTTTCTGCCCTCTGCACTTCTTCAGGCACTGTTTCAACAACTGCAGCAATAAAAACTGAAATCAGAATTAGTTTAAATGACCTTACCAACACAGAGAATAAGAAGTGTCACTAAATGAAACAGCAAAATGTTTAAGCTGTGAGCACAAATTCTGAGTTTTATGTAATTGCCAGAGGTGCATCCTGTGTACAATTTTCTCTCTTCCAAATTCTTTAACTGCTAAAGTTGCCCTTACAGAGACTATAAACACTGTAAAATGTGTTTAATTAGTAACCTATTAAAATTAGTTGGGAAGCAATATATTTCTACAGAGCCTTTCAAAATGATGCTTTGAAAGTTTATTTACAATAATTGAAAGCAGATGGTTTTGTAAAACTCACAGGTAATTACAGGCTTCTTGAATTCACAACATATATATTTCAACATTCAAGTAGAAGCCCGTTTCCTTCAAAGATAACTTCCTACTACTTTCTCATAAAAATATAAAAAAGACAGTAACTATACTTTTAGGAACCTATATTTAACCCAAATCAAGGTTTTTCTACAAATGATACCTCTTTCAAAAAGGTTAAAAGACATCACAGAATAATGTGATGCTAATCCAATCTCACAACAGTATTTTAAGAAACACTGCAGTATTTCCTCCTTAACATTTCATGTTGAATTTCAACTGTGTATATAGGTCTAAAACTGCAGATTAACCCTCGTTCAGTTATGCAGTAGACCTGTCATATGACCAGTTACCATATAAACTGTCATACCATAACTGCAAAAATAGCAAAAGGCAATCTTTATGAAAGCTTTATAAATCTTTTTAAGAAAGGCAACCAAAATTGTCCTAACGTTCTATAAAAATTACCATTCTTCCTTTCTCTCTCCTTAAACGGTACCTTATACAGCATGTTAAGACACAAAGGTATTTAAGCATTTTTACTAAGTTAGCCTTTTACAGGGCTGCTTTTCTTTTCTGCTATGACTTTTAACAAAGGTACCAAGATTGACTCCCTAGCTTCAATTTTTTTGTCCCTGTTTAGATTCCTCCAGAATGACTTTCCTCAGAAAAGGGTCACTGGAAGAACTTAAGGAACCACGAAGAAATGAATGATGAAACATAACTTGCAACTTGTAACACTCAACAGTTATAAATACATTAATATGTTCCTTGAATTCTTACTCAGGACAAAGAGAATAATTTCCTGAACATCAACATAAAGAGTACATTTATTAACAGTAGGAAAACTCCTAAGTTTCTAGTAACAATGTACTAAAGGTTACATAACAGCACAGCTGACCAGGTTAGTATTTCTACGCAATGTTAGACATTCATTGCCAGACACTCTGATAAATTACCCTGAAAACCTGCCTAACACACACCATTAACATGTAACAAAGCAAGGCATTCGTTTCACAAGGAGAAAAAATAAGTTTCATCACAAAAACAGATTTTCTGGGTTTTAATTTTAAATTCTAGAGATACCTTTTAAAGATTAAAAAAAAAAAAAACAAGATTCACTTCCAAAATAAGTCTTTATATATATATATATCACTCATTGTTAATTCTCTTTTTGCTCTTAAAATGTAGAGCATTAGAAACTTTTGAACTCTAGAAATTCTGTTTTTTTTTTTTTTTCTTTTTTCTTTTTATCGGTACCGGGGATCGAACTCACAACCGCCTGCTTGCAAGGCAGGCGCTTATGCCGCTGAGCTAAATCCCCAGCCCCGAACTCGAGAAATTCTAAACAGTTACTCTATTTGGCTTTATGCTCATCTCGGTTCTCCTCTGAGAATCGCACTGTCGTCCTCGGTTCCTTGGTCCAATGTGAGAGGGAAATTCTATTTCTTCTTCCTCTTCTTGGGGGGCTCCTCCTCGGAGCTGCTCCCCGAGCTACTGCTGCTGCTGCTGCTGGTGGAGCTGGAATCTGAGTCCGAGTCCGAGGAAGAGGAGGAGGAGGAGGAGGAAGAGGTAGAGGAGGCCGAGGAAGATGAGCTGGAGGAGCTCTCGTCGGAGTCGCTGTCCTCTGAGGAGGAAGAGGAGGTAGATGTGTCTTCGCTGCCTGACGAAGAGTCGCTGGCTGAACTGTCACTGCTGTCGCTACTGGAACTAGTGACGCTCTTGGCCCTGTTGGACAGCGAATGGTATACACATGGGAAGCTGACATTTCACAGGGCACTAGGAGCAACGTCCTACAGCACGGTCTGTGTCTGTGCATACCGAGGCTCTGCTGGCACAGCACCCCTAGGCCAGACCTCGGGGGTCACCGAACTGCTGCGACCTGCACCCGGCCCTTTACCAGGCCTCAGCAAACAGAGCTAGAGCCTCGCCGCTGCTCAGCCCGGCCGCTGAGACAGTGTGGAATGGAGCGCACGGGAGTGTGTCTCCTGGGTCAAGCTTCGGAGTGCAAAGGATGACAATGAAGTTGCGTGTAACTGCTGAATTTACTTAAATGTCACGTGGGCTAATGAATGTTTGTCTTTTTTGCCTTTTTTTTTTTTTTAAAGTGGTACTGGGCCTGAATCCTGGGCCTTGCACAAGCTCTACTGCTACCACTGAGCTGCACCCTAGGCCCCATATATATCTAAATTTGGGGGGGTGTTTACTGGAACTCATGACCTCCTGCTTGCCAGGCCGGTGCTTATGCCGCTGAATTAAATCCCCAGTCCCTGGAAAGTTATATTTTGACATAGGGTTCCACTAAGTTTCCCAAGCTGAACTTGCGACCCTGCTGCCTCTGCCTTCCAAGCAACTAGGATGAGAGACATCAGTGTGCCCAGCACAGTCTTTATTTTAACGACTTCATATCTGACATGGCTGGTCAGCAATTCCTACCCTATCTAATAGTAATTCCTGTTCTAAGCCAACTTCTATTTCCACGTCCAAGGACTCTAGAAAGATGTGGAAAAAGGAGAAATCATGGTTATAAATTCTAGGTAAGGGAAATAAAATGATAATTATGACTGGCAAGCAAAAGACCTCAAATACAAACTTTATAATTATTATTCCCAAATCACTGCTCCATCCCTCTGACCAGTATTGCCTACCGTGTTACTGTGTAGGGCACTCCCAAAGCCATACATACCTTTTTTTCTTGGTCTTTCTTTCTACGTTAGTTTCTCCAATGCTGACAGACATAAGAGGAAAAAAAGCTCCTGTCAGTAGCACGATTACACAGAGATCAGACAAATTCTTCTGCTGTGTCCCAGACAACTTAATTAGCATTCAAGCAACAAATTTCATCAACAGTACCTTAAAGACCTGGTAAATTAGTAATTAAGATGGCTGAATAAACAAATTTAATGCTTTTTAAACCTGGAACCTAACTACTTGCTCAATAATCACCAAAAGCAGATAACACAATTTGAGTACTCAGAGTCAATTTAATACTTCAAGACTATTTATTTATGTATGCTTGTATGAGTGGATGATACTGGATTTGAACGCAGGGCCTCAGACTGAGCTCTATCTCCATTCTTTTTAAATGTTCTAGATTCTAAAACAGGGTCTTGTTGAGTCACTAAGTTGCCCTGGCTGGACTCCAACATGCATTTTTCCTGCCTCAGCCTCCCAGACAGCTAGCATTACAGGCACGTGCCACCACTGTCAAGTTCCAAAGCAAGGACGGAAGGACAGCAATGGGAGACAGCGGCAGCTGAGGAGCAGGCTGCAGGCAGTCCTGCTGAGGGGCTGGGGCTGGTGGGCACGGACCCCACCCCGCTAGTCTAGTGAGAGCCTGGGTCAGCCTGGGTCACACAGGGTGACTGTGGCCCCACTGGAGCCCGGTCCCTGTCATGTTGTACGGGGTTTCTGCCTGCAGCACTGTTCCGGGGGCTGACAGCCACTTTGGCTTCCAGCATGAGCACAGTCACATCCCAGCCTGAAGGCCTGAGCACTGCTCCTTATCCCTAGGCTGTGGGGAACAGCCACATGTCCGAACCCATAGAAAGCTTCAGATTTATTTATTTTTGTGGTTTTCCTCTTTCTATTCATTTTCCTCTCACTTTGATTCCATCGTTGGCCCTTTAAGAGTGTGTGTGTGTGTGGGGGGGGGAAGTGTGTGAGATGGCTGGGTGCGGTGGTGCACGCCCGTAATCCCAGCACTCAGGAGGCTGAGGCAGGCCAACCCCGATCTGGGCTACAAAGTGAGTTCAAGGCCAGCCGGAACTGCATAGGGAGACTCTGTCTCGAAAAGCCAAAAATAAAATCGTGTGTGTGCTTCTCTCCTCTTGCCCTTTTCTCCTAGTACAGTTTAGAGAGGGCAGAGCCGTCCTCTCGTCCCCTCCCTTCCTCTCACTTTTGCTGTACCCTTCAGCTGACCCCCATCTCCGGCCCTCAGTCTTCCTGTTTCTGTTTCTTTCTTCTTCCCCCTCTTCGTCTGCCTGCTCTAGCTCTTTCTCTGATCTCTGCATGAGCCGTGCAATCCTCCCCACTCCCGTAGCTCAGCACCGAGTTGTCCCTGTTAGCCCCTCTGAGTCTGTAACACACCTCTCCCAGCACTGGGGTCCTTTGCTCCCATTTCCTCCTTCCCATACCACATAGCAGAAGTATTAAAAACACCCAAAACCAAACCTTCCCCCCCGCCCCACCTCTGGTATTACCCAGTCTCCAACCCTGTGCTTTAGATAACTGATTCTGTAATTACTGCTGAACGCCTTTTTTTAAACAAACCATGAGAGGAGACAGCACTGGGGATTTAGCTCAGTGGTGTAAAAGTCTACCTGGCAAGTGTGAGGTCATGAGTTCAATCTCCGGTACCAAAAAAAAAGAAAAAAAAGAGACATAGCCTACGAATTTAGTACTTATTAGCTGTGAGCCGATACTCGGGGTGTAACTGCGGACTTTCTCAGGACTAAAGGGAGATCCAAAATCGGGCCTCATGGTATATTTCTTCTCAACTTGCCTCGATAAACACCACTGTAACTGATTATCTTGTCACTGCCATGACTGATTTGACTGCACAAGCGTACTCCTGACCAGGGGACAATTTCGTGCTAGTGAACCAGACTGCCGATGCCATCACACCCAGGGAGAAGGAAAGCAAGAGTTCCTAGCCCAAGCGCTCAGACTGGATCAGTCTCTGCCGAAAGGCTGTGGCCGGGCTGGAGGCCGTCCTGAGTCCAGTTAGCCCCAGTACTGCAGTGAAAGGCGAGGAGGAGTCGCCGCCGGGTGAGCGCCCTGGGCTCTGGCAAAGCAGCTGTGCGGAATCCCATAGCCGGCTCCCTGGAATATTTAATCTGCGTCCCAACCGTATCTTACAGGTTAGTGGTTTTTTTCCTAGTTTATTAATACTATGCGGTTATGTTATGTAATTTTATGGATTTGGGGAGAAGTATGTTGGGACAGGTCTAGTTCTGTAGCCTAGGCCAGTCTTGAACTCATGGCGTTCCTCTTGCCTCAGTCCTAGTGTTGACCCTAGATCCCCCATCCTAAGCCTTTGGCTCTCCTGTATCTCACCACTCCATCAGCAGGTTCTGACCCCACCACGGAGCTTTCCTCAATCACAAAGGAAGCCCCCTTCCTCCCCTAACTCACCCTTGCCCCACGAATCTCTCTGAAAATGCTCAACACCAACCCTTCCACTCAGCTGGAAGTACCCCAGTAAATCAGACGCCAACCTTCTCAGCCTCCCCCACCCCCAGTGGGACCTCCCCTCCCCCTCAGGGTCTGAGGCTCCTTATCTACCCCTCCCTCTCCTCCCTGCATCTCTGACTACCTCCTGCTGAGCAGCTACAAGTAACACAAGGTCCTGGTGTGCAGGAAGTCAGACCAAGGGAGAAGTGTAACTGCGAGGACTATGTCAGAAGCACCGTGCGATTAACTCTGTGGTTGCTCTTATAACCAGGGGTAATTCAGCAAAACATAGGGACACAGCCAAAATCACTTAAAGTAAATAACAGACAAGTAAACACTAGCCCTGGACACACAAAGCTGACAATTATTCACAGGGAGCACCACGCTACTAAAAAGCTGCATATAAACCATACACTCCTCACTTGTAGTCCTCAACCTGCAGGAACCCCCTTCCAAAAAAGGAGGGGGAAAAAAGGGAGAGATAGGTAGACAGACAGACAGACAAGCATGGGGAAGCAAGGCAACAGAAGCTCCCCAAGTTCATCCACTCTCCCAAGGCAGAGCATGGGGGCACAAAGGGGGAGAACACAAATTCCATAGAAGGGAGGAAGAAACAGGTGAGTGCAGGGGAGATGAACCAATAGCCCAGGGCAGTTTTACTCAGGGTGAAACCACGGTGAATTTCAGGAAAGACGGGTAAAACACTGGATGAGCTACCCCAAGGAGTTCAAAATATGACTGACAGATTCAACAAAGGAACCCTAGAAAAAATGTCAGACAGAAATACCTGAAATAAAAACCTGCACAGAATTTATAAATTACAGAATGACCAGTACAAAGACAGAATGTGTGATATGGAGGACAAAATAGTGAATTATAAAAAAGAGCTCAAAAAAAGCCAAAAGGAAAACATGAGGACAAAACAGGATTATCAGGGACTACTAGATAAAATCTACAGCTAACTGAAGTTACAGAAAAACTAGAACACAGCACAGATGGATATACTAACATATTTACTGAAATCATAGAAGCAAAATTCCCAAACATAAGAAAAGAGATTAAAATACAAGTGACACAGAACACCAATTATGATGACAGAAGAAGCTCACCAAGACACAGTCTCATTAAGTTACCAGTAAACCCCGCCCCCCCCCCCAAAATTTTTTTGGTCTTTTTGAGATGGGGTCTCTCTATGCAATTCAGACTGGCCTTGAGCTCGCTTTGTAGCCTAGGCTGGTCTCAAAGTCACAATGATTTTCCCCTGCCTCAGCTCCCAAGTGCTGGGATTATAAGCATGCACCACCACACCAGGTTTTTAAAAAACAGAATTTTAAAAGCAGACAGAGAAAAACAAAATTCACATACAAAAGCGAACCAATTAGAATCACAGCAGACTTCTCAATGTAAACCGTAAAGGCCAGGAGAACTTGGACTCAAGTATTGGTCACTCTAAGAGCAAATAACTTTTTTTTTTTTTTTTTTTTTTTTTTTTGCGGTACTGGGGATTGAACTCAGGACCTTGCATTTGCTAGGCAGGCACTTATGCCACTGAGCTAAATCCCCAGCCCGAGCAAATAACTTCTAACCCAGATTAATTCATTCAGCAAAGCTATCCTTCAAAATAGATGGAGAAACCTGGTACTTCCATGAAAAAGAATGGCTGAAACGATACATGAGTATTAAAGCAGCTCATGAAAATATTTTGGAATACTCTTTTTTTTTTAATCGGTACCAGGGATTGAACTCACGACTGCCTCCTTGCAAGGCAGGCGCTTATGCCGCTGAGCTAAATCCCCAGCCCCATTGGAATACTTTTGATAGAAATCACTACACGGACACAGCTAAAAACAAAACAAAACAAAAAAACCCAGGAAATTAGTGCAGTCAATGAATAAACAGCAGCAAAAAACATCAGGAAAGGAAAAGCAACAGGTTCACCTACAAATAAAGACAGATTCGATAGTAAACAGCCAACACATCTCACTGTATCTCTCAACATTAACAGCCTCAATTCTATAATTAAATGAACAGATAAGCAGACTAGGTCAGAAAACAGAATCCAGCAGTCTGCTGCACTGAAGAAACACCTAATCCAAAAAGATATTCATAGACTAAAAATTAAAGGATGGAAAACAACATTTCATATACTAGACTCCGGAAAACAAGTAGAAGTAGCAATTCTAATATTAGACATGGTAAACTTCAAGTTAGAAGAGACAAAGAAGGCCACTGCATTACAAGTTAAGGGAAACAATTTGACAAGAGGAGATAAGATTGGTAAACACACATACATCCAATACCAGTGCACCTATTTTCATAAAACAGTAACTACTGAAATTAAAAGATCAAATACACACGACCACAATCATGGCAGGGGAGTTTAACATCATACTTACACAGAGACCCACTAAACAAAAACGGGTATGAAGCACACCCTTGAGCACACGAACTTAACGGATATACACAGGCTATCCCACCCCTCTATAACCCAGCATACAGTCTTTCCAGCAGCACAGGATTCTTTTTCCAAAACAAAACACATAGTAGTCTACA